GTTTGATTCTAGTTCTGCTAATTCAGGCAGAGTTGTGGGACTGGCATGGGAGAAAGAGTTAGTGGTGCATAAAATCAGGAAGGGTTGTTTTAAGCCCCTGCAACAAGGAGTTCCTTTTCATTGCAGCAAAGTGTGGGAATACCCTAAAATAACCTTGAAGACCTATAGATCACAGCACTATGACTCTTTTGGGAAACCAACTTCTTCATAGTTACATACTCTGCTCCTTGTAAGATTTTAAGTGCTATTGACACTTTAGCTTGTCTAACCAAAAGCTGAGTTGCACTCTTTGCTTTAGCTGAATCTCAGAACTCTTCAAAATCTTAAAGGATTTTTATGCAGTATTTGAAGTGGTGCTTCAAAAGAGGGTTTAGTGAAATAAAGAGATGGGACTGGTTATTTTCCCATTCCTTTCTTTCTGAGGTAGCATTAAGATTGGAAGCAGTTTCAATAAGCAGTTTAGTATATTGGGGGGAAGGGAAACCATCAGAATGATAAATGCCTTAAACAGCATGACAGGATTAAAAAGCAACAATAACTCTCCTGTATTTTTAATTCTTAGTATTCCCTTTTTTCAAATGCAAAATCCCTTGACAGCTACAACTCTAAATATGCTCAGTTGTAATGTTTAGAGGGAACTGCCTCAAAGCATAGGTTAAGAACTGTATGGACAGAGGTTCACTGAGGATCTGTGTATGTGTGCAAGTGCAGTAAATACATAGCAAGGTGATGAGTACCTGTTGGCAGTTAGTTCAGAAATATTTGGAACAATATCTCTGCCACCATAGTATGATTTTCCGTGTATACTTTGGAATAAAGACACTGGCCAATCATTTGGTATAACAGTTGTTGTTGTTGTTAGTTGCAAAGTTGCGTCTGACTCATCATGACCCCATGGACAGCATTCCTCCAGGCCTTCCTGTCCTCCACCATCCCCCAGAGTCCACTTAAGTTCACGGTGACTGCTTCAGTCACTCCATCCAGCCACCTCATTCTCTGCCGTCCTCTTCTTCTTTTGCCTTCAATTGTTCCCAGCATTAGGGTCTACTCCAGTGAGCTATAACAGTAGACTTCAACTTTATTAAATATTCAGCCTGTGCAATAAGCATTTTTTATTTGGTATCTTTAACCCTATTCTGGGGATGTGCAAGGAATCCATTTTGGGGTTTGGAATTCTTTGGGCCCAGCTCCCTGAACTCTGGCCCACTTCCTGGTATGCTGAAAAGGTCGCCAGTTGTGAAGCCAAACTCCTGTGAGGATTCAGGGACTTCCCCTTGGTTCAGCTCACTTCTGAAAACAGGGCTGAGCACAAGAGGAAGTCTGTGAACTGAAGAGGGACAAATTCTGCAAAGCTTCACTGTAACACCACCCTACTTTGACTATTACCTGGTTCAGATGACCTGACAGTCTTCTGTGGTTTATTAACTCTAAGGGTGCTGCAGTGTAAGCTGTCTGCCATTATGAATATGCAAGTCCTGGCTAGAGGTTGTCATGGATTATCCTTTCATGTGAACTTAGGTGGCAGGTGTTGTTCAATGGCAAACACCCTTTCAGAAGCCTTTTAGGGTTCTGTGAAAAGGTTGCTTATCTCTAAAGTAAACTCTGCTGGCCAGTTCACATATCATTACAGTCTAAAGCATTTGCCAGTATGTTACCAGCAAGTAGCAAAACACTTCTTTCAATGCTATTTGCTACAATACTTATATTCTCTCAGCATTTGTTTCAAATTTTGCAGGATTATGCACCCTAGTTTATCTGTTGAACTCAGTCAGGTTGTTTCCACGTAGCAAGTAACTAATCCCTTCTATTAAAAGGGCTGTTTCTACATTTGTTAGAGTTGTGTGCTGTTCACTGTGTTTCAGGTTTTGGGAAGGAGTATCCTAAATAAACCTGGAAGAAAGTTGTCCATGAGGTCGCGAAGAATTTGCGACTGAGCAACAACAACAATCCTAAATAAACAGATCACAGGAGAGTGAATTGCAAATTGCTTTATCCTGATCTGAGGAGTGGGCTTACTATGGCAGAAATCCCCCCCCCCCCATTAAAAGCTGCCAGTTCTGTTAAGAGTCTTCAGTGATGGGTAGGCAGGAGCATGGCCGTAGAAAATGAGTAGAGGCATTCTGAGAAAGGAGGACAGAAGTGTCCAGAAGCTTGGTATTGTTGGTGCAGTGCTGTCAGCTTTTAGCCTATTGGGGCAGAAAGAAAGAACACATGCATACACCACAGAAAATCCCCTTTGCTGGGACAGTTTGGGATAGGGCAGGATCAGAATGGACAGCCAGTTTGTATCCCACAAATAGGGTGGCAAAGCCATCTCCTTTCCAACATAATCCCTCTCCTGTTTAATCTGGAATAGCCATTCTTTCTTTATTCACTTTCTTTATTCACAATTGTTGTGAAATTTCAGTGTTTTCTCTGTTGACATTGTGTTTTTCTTCACACCTGATTTGGGTGACATTTATTGCTTAAGTTCAGTTGTAACACCAGCATGTCAATGTGGACAGGCAAAGTGCCATTGATGCTTTTCTGGATAATGGTTCCTTTAAATCAAAAGCTTCCTATATGCAAATTCCACCTGTTTTATTGCTTTCCTGCTCAGCATAGCTTACTGATTAATATGTCCCTTACTTAGTTTTGCATGGATATATTAAATACTGGTTTCTTCCCATTATTTTTTCTCCTCCTTTTCTTTCTATTAGAGTAAAATGCTCAATTTTCCTATAATAGGAAAAAAAGAGAAATGATAATGTAACATTTCCTTCTTCCCTCTGGAAACAAATCTGGCTATTTAAGGTGCAATTTGTTGTTACTTGGGACACTGAGTAGGAAAGCAATGAAACAGATGAAATCTGCAAACAGGAAGCTTTCAATTAACACTAGAAAGGCTCTTTTCTGAGAACTAAGTTGTGAAAAGTCATCCTAGAAACCTCTTAGCTATAGAGGAGGCAATGCTGGATAATATTGTGCTATATTAACTGCTGGGAGGAGCCTCTATTTCTTCTGGTTTTGCTTCCAGCTGATTGTGAGAAAAAATGGACCAACATTTCTCTAATGTGGCTTGTGTGACCATATGCAGAGCCTGTTAAATCACACACCCAGGAGTTACTATATTCAATTTGGGCAAATCTTATAAATGACAAATCCTAGATTAGGAATGGTTCCATATTGTGTTGCTTCTCCATCAAGTCTGCCTATCCCTTACACCATTCAGGCTGTAAGACAAGACTTTAAGAATATGTATTTTATGCAAGATAATACCCAACTACATTTCTGCAAAGTTGTAACAGGATACTGTAAACGCTGCAGAACATTTATGAAGTGAACATATATGTATCTTTTTTACCATACTTCTTTGCTCTAAGTGTTTGTTGCATATCTAGAAATGTCCCAAAAGACTTCCTTGAGCAGTTTTCATTTAAAATACAGCTGTGGCTGCTGTTTTACTGTATGTTTCATCCACACGTGATATATGATATGGAAACCTGTTGGTAATACACAGTATGTCTTGTGATGTATCATCATTGTGGCAACTTGTTTCTATTTGTGAAGTTGGAAAAGGGCATTTGGTCTGAAAGCAGTGGTATCAATTTGATACCATTGTGAACTGTGCCACCGCTTGATTGGTTCCATCGGTTTAGTTAATATCCATGTTTTTCTGCATTGTTTTCTTCTATGTGAAATACGCCCATGTGCCTCACAAACGTTTGACTACACAAACAAAGAAAAATCCCAAGCAATTGCTTGCAGCCTAAGCCCATGGGCTAACCTATCCCCTTGCACATGGCAGTACATGCAGTCGGGGGAGAGGTGGCAGCCAGCCATGTGCAAAGGACTGCTACTGCTCCCATTTGGGAAGGGCTGTCATTCATTGGCACGGCACATGCTTTACATGCAGAATGTCATAGTCAGCCCTGGGAAAGGATCCTTCCTGAAACAATGGAGATCTGCCCGCTGGTGTCAACAAGAAGGGCCAGTGGTCTGATTCAGTATACGGCAGCTGCCTATGTTCCTGTAAATCCCCCTGCACGCACACCAGGGCCTGTCAGATTCTCAGATTCATAGAACAGAATTCTGTTCATTAAAAGGTAGCATGAGCACAGAAGTAGAAACACTTACCATTTGGCATGCTTAAAGACAACTGAAGGACAGCCTGTGGAAAGTAGCCTATCTGCACAGTCTGTATTCCCTTTTGCACTGCTGTTTGCATACCTTAGCCAGTCTAAGAAGTAAAATAATAGCATGCACAATGTTACAAATGGAAAATGAATGATCAAAATATAGATTGAACTTGGGAAGGAAGGTATAATTATACTTTTCAGTTAAAATTCATTTTTGTTTCTAATGTGTGTGTATTGGTGTAATTGTGTAGAAGAGCAGTATTACAGGGAGAAAGGACTATGAATTTATAAGTGAAAGCAGTTATACAGAATAAATATGATCTTGCAGAAGGAAATAAAAATAATGGCAGAAATACAACTTTGACTCTCTGGAATGTATAAACTTGTGCTAGAAACAGCTGAGAGTTGCTTCAGTACTGGCAGCTGTCCCAGATGCATAAGTAGTTAGAACTATTGCACTGTACGTGGAATATCTGAAGGGCACCTTGGAAAGCTAAGGCTGAAATTCTACATCTGTTTACTTGGAATTTTTGCAAATTACTTCTTAGTATATATGGTTAGGATCAAGCTGTAAGTTTCTTAGGGTACAAGCCTATGCATGTTTAGACAAAGAAATCCCTACAACTCTGAATATTGCCTGGTGATGTAAGCTTGCTGAAAATGCTGGGTCTTTTTCTGTCTAAATTTGTACCCCAAATTGTGAATCTTACCTTTGTAAGTCCTACATGTCAGCTAAGACTGCTTTCTATCTAAAAAAAACTAGAACTGTGTCCTTGCTTGCTTGCTGTCGCTTAACTACTATTGAGAGTTATTGCTCACTAGATAGTAAAATCATGATGACTTTCATTGTTTACTTTTTTCTTTTGGTTTTTGGCTGGGCAGCAAACTTGCTAAGAAACGCAAAGATGCAATGGGGAATACTAGACAAGAAATGACCCATATGGTGAATGCGATGGACAGGAGTTACGCCGATCAGAGCACCCTACATGCAGAGGATCCTCTTTCAGTCACTTTTATGGACTCCCATAACTTCAGCCCTAGATGTAAGTAGAAGAGTGGCAGAGGTTAAGTCACTTGTTGTAACACAAATGGTGGATGGATGGGTGGGTGGGATGGACTTCTGAATATAGTATTAAGTACCATATACATGCATTTACTACGAATTATGTAGAATTGACTTATTTGTGGACAATTTTTTCCAGACTGCATCTAGTGCAAAGAAATATGGGATAGGCATTTCTAAAGTGCCAGGAAAAGTGCAAAATTTCCTTACTTTTCCTCTGATGCACCTGCCAAATACCGAAATTGCTGCTTTCACTGTACTTAGAGAAAAGTATACCTTTGCCTAAAGTGTACAAGAAACCAAGCAGGAGAAACACTGGGGAGAATATCAAAAATCAATGTGCAAATAAGCTTTATTATAAAATTTATTCCCAAGATGAACTTTTAAGAAAAAGAAATTATAACTCTGTGTCACAATTATAATTTTGTAATAAATATAAGGTTTATAAACAGACAACTATTATAGCTACCACTCCAGCATAGGTATATGTATACCTACCTTGTATACCTATGTTGTATACCTACAGACATACCTTGTATAACAGTGTTCCTGTGGAAAAGACACATACCTTATTTTTCCGCATTAAAATGTAATACATGGACTCATGCGATAATTCATTCTAGATTCACTTTTCCATCCTTTTTTGCACAATTTGTAACTCTTTCAAATTATATGGTGAAAAGGAATATACATGTAGGGCATTTGTAAAAATATAATCATAGTAAATATAAGTTTGAAAACCTGTAAAAATATGCTTGAAGAATTTGGGCTGTCCTATAGTCAAGTATGTGCAATGGAATAAGAATGTGCAGCATAGTAATTTTACTCATTTGAATTAAAAAGGGATCATTAAAGAATATGCTATCTCCATATAGTAAATTAAATGTAAATTTTATCTTTTATACCACATATTTTGGGTGGCATATTTGAATATAGTTACTGCTCTGATAACAAACTATCCGTTCTGAGACCAATGTAACACAGTGGCTACATTAGTTCTGAGTATTTCTTGCCCATCAGCGTTACCACAAAACAGCCGTCAGCTTACTTAGACAGGTTGAGCCTTAAGCACATTTGTGGTCACTCTGAAAAGCCTTGCTTGTGGGTGGTTCCAAAAGAGTGAGGACTGGGAGAGGAAAGACAGGAACCCTTCCTTGCATCGTATTCTTTACATTCACTTACAGTTCAACTCCAGTTTGGGACAACTTTCCCTCTCTCCCAGCAGCTGATCCCTTTGTATTCCACGTTGTTCTCCTAACTTGGGAGAGACAAAAAATGCCCTTCTATGCACATCCTTAGCAACCAAATTTGTGAGCATAGTTCTAAGAATACAGTATAACATAACAGCTCTTCCAGAAGGAAAATTCCAAAGCAAATGCAAATTTATCACTTGTTCTCCTCCTTTAGTGGTGTACTTCCAGGCCAAACACTTTTTCCTCTCAGATTGTTGCTCAGGGCAAATGGATGGAATTGTTAGACTATGAATCTAAGCCTCTTCCACTAGCCTGGTTATTGTATGATTTGCTTGGTTTTAGAGTACATGTTGTGGATATAGCAAGTATTATTTTGAAGAAGATAACAAACATTACCTCTTTTTTTATGAGCCAAAAGCAAAATGAATTATCCAGTAGTAATTTTCTTTGTGACTTGATGTCAACATGCTGTGCACTATTCTATTAATATAGGTATGTAAACTCTTCCGTATAGATGATGCCATATGGATGCAGCTGTGTGGTAGCAATACAGTCTGGTTTGACCATGTGGATAAAACTAGAAACAGATAAGCTTTCCATAGATATCTATAGATTAATTTGGAAATTATTAGAGTTCTTCCCAAAGAAAGAGAATAAAAGCATTCTGCCAAGATTTCTGAACCAATTTGATAACTTGCAAAAATTAGCCCTGTCACAGGACCCCTTTTTCCCATTACTCTAGGATAGTTCCTACAGTGGTTGAGAAAAAAATCTAATGAGAGTTAAATATGATGGGAAGGGTCTTAAAGAAAATGTATGAGTGACTTTCCTCCTTTAATATTAGATTGGTTCTTTGAAACATCTTTCCCATGCCCATCTAGGAGCAAATTGTTCCATTTGCTTCTATGGGAGTTATAAAAGACCTTATGGGTGCCCAATTGAAGCAGAGGAAATCTTTCAAATTGGGTGGTTGCTTTCTGATTCTCTCTTAGACTTCAAATTTCTTCAAACTGGCCCTATAGCAACCTCAGAATGACAAAACCTCATTCTATTATATTGTGGAGGATCAATCATAAAAGGTTTGATGGGACATTTGGCAGTCAAAGCAGCTAGGTTTGCTTGTCACAGTTCTCACAACTCTTAGCCAGCATAAGGTTTACTTCTGCCATGCAAAGCCTTTGTCAGTCAGAAAAGCTGACTTCTCCTGCTTGGAAACCTTAAAAGTTCCTTTCTCCTTATGAGCCCGTGGAGCTAGTGTCTGAGCCTGGCTGGAGAGAACTTTTCCAGCAGGCACTAATGGGACCAACGTGTAAATCTAGCTTTAATCTAAGATGCAATTTAGTGAGAATACACCTTGCTTCCTGAAAATTGAAAGTTTCCACTGATTGTTAAGTGCTTGTATTGTTTCACTTTTTAAACTAGAAAATTTGTTGATAAATGCCTCCATTTGATACATTCTATATGCACTTTCCACACAAAATGTATTTTAGCTATTTGCAGTGGAAAAAAACCAGGGCAGTTTCAGGCTGGGTTTCTGAGAACATCCTAACAATTCCAGCATAACAGTTCAATTAGTTTTTGGCAGACACGCTGCCAAAACTACTTGAGGGTTTATTCAGTGGCTGTAAAGCAGCAAATGCTTAGAAAATGGCCAAATTTAGTCCTTCCATAAATTTACTCCATTATTTACCCTATGTAAAATGGAAACACTGTTTTTTAGCAAAGCAGACTGCAATCTTTTTCACTAGAAGAATGAATAGACATTGCTTCTCAAAATTCTATTTATCTTTTTTTAAATGTTCCAACTGAAGGTAATTTATTTTTTTCATGAGCTTTGTTTTCCTGCAGTGCCCAATGATCCACTTGTGCCGACTGCTGTGTTAGGTGAGGACCTAGTCCTTTAGCATTTCTTCCTTCATGGATTTCATCTCCTTGCATGGTTTTATAATGCTTGTCAACAGATATATTTATTGCATGTCAAAGCAACTTGTTTCAGATTGAAAAAATAGACCAGCTGTTAGCAGAATATTCAGGTGTTTTGAGCACAGTATTTGTTTTCATAGTGCAGCATCAAATATTTGTTTTGTTGTGTAAATTAACAGTGTAAAAGGGAGCCTTCTGGGTCTAAATTATTTCTTGAAAGAAGTGAAGGTCATGCTTTTCTAGTCTAAGATGCTTCAAATATTGAATACAGTCACTCAAATACTCTGGCCCCAAGCTGTTTAGGAGGTCCACAACACAGGTAACTCTGGCTGCCATCAAGGTGTCTCTCGCAAAGTAGTCCCCAGTGTGGCACTCATAAACACCTGCAAAGCTGTTTTTTTATCCCCCCCTTTTTCTGTTTCTAGCCCTAGGCTTGTTGTTTCCCCCACTCTCACCCTTGCTGTGCTATTTCTCGTTACTCCTAAGTCTCTAGCCTCACTTTTCCTCCCATCATGACCTCTTCCATTCACCTCATGGTTTATCCCCCTTCTAGGTGCACTCTTTTTCATCCTTCTATCCATTTTTCATGCTAATTCGCTCTGCCCCAGCCTCACTATTTCTCTCCCCACACCTCTTTTGGCTACACATGTCCCCTCATCAGCCACATCAAGTAACTGGCCACATCCTGCATGGTGGCCTATGTGGTCCAAAACAATTGGGCTTTATAGGTCAGAAGCAGAACCCTGGTACCAGTCAGAGCCTGGTATTGTGTCCAGAAACACAGGGGTACTAACACAGGCAAAAATGTGTTTGAATTAGTTCCAGTCAATTAGTGATATAGCTGTCATTTACTAAACCAGTTGAAGTTCCTAAACATCTTCAAAGGAAGCCCAGTATAATGAAATAATCTAATCCAGATGTCGTGAGGGTGTAAGAAACTATAGTGAGGCTTTCTCAGGCCGGGAAACCTCTGTGCCAGTCGTAGTGAATAGCACTTTGTGTGGCAGATGCTACTTAAGCATCCAGTGTAAGGCACATACTGATCAGTAACTGCAGCCCATCAATGCTCTTTAAGAGGTTCAGCCCCATCTATAGTAGGCCAAATAGCACACCTACACATATCAAGCTTATCAAAGGCCCAAATAATACTTCCATCTTCACCTGGATATTGGCTAATGCTGTCCTTTTATATTTGTGAGTTGGAATCAGCCTCTTGTCATTGTTCCAGAATGCTAGATGTAACCTGATACCTGCAGCTAATTCATTCAGTGTACAATCTCCATTTTGATACTGGGTTTAAACTATAGGTGACATGAACATCTGGCCTAATGTTTTAATTGTTAATTGTTCTTCTTCCATACCTTGCTGTGGATTGTTCATGGTTAACAACCCATGGTAAAATTATAGTGCAGGCATCTGCAACCCATGATTCAACAACATAACAAAATAATAACCCTGGGTTCAGTAACAACCCAAATTCAGTGCCATCCCATATTCAATCCATATTCTGGGTAGTTATAGGCAGACCAGACCAGTACTTATATTCCCATTCTGGACTGCCCCTTTAAGGCTATAGGTCATTCAGTAGTGTGACCAAGGTGTTTCAGTGCCAAACTCTAGCCAGCAATACTGTTGAAATGTTCATCTGAACATAACTATAACATCCAAATCCAGTGTATAAATGTACAATATTAGGAGTAAAGACTATAGGTTCCAATATACAAAGTGCTTTGGCATTCCTTAGCTTCATCTTTATGATGACTTTCTGAGAATAGGAAAAGTTTAAACATTTTGGCCAGGATCTGAAGAACTGTTTGAGGTGCATCTGAAAACTTGCCTTTCCTCAAACATCAGATTCCCATACTATTTCATAAACTGATTTTGAAAAGTTGGCCATGTGGCATGGGAGCTATTGTTCAAGAAACATGAACATACAAATCTACCTTAGGTGCCCTGAACTAGGGTTGTTTGTTTGCTTGCTTTTATTCCATTTTTATCCTGCCTTTCATCTGAAGAGTTTGAACTCGCATACAGTTATCTGCCCCTTTCTTCTCCCTACTCCATCCTCATAGCAACTTAGTGAGAAAGGCTAGGCTGAGGAAGTGTTATGTCCCCAGACCCCCATTGGCTGTATGGGGGGGGGGGGTGCAGATTTGAACTCTGGGTTTATCTACTACTGGACAGTGGTTCTACATCCCAGCAGAGTTTCATGACAGGCCAAATAGATGGACATAGAACTCCTGTGCATAACTCTAATCAGATGGCCCACTCTTGTCTTCATCTATTTAATAATGGATTTATTACAGTCTTAAATTGTAATTTGCATCTCCAAATAACTAGTAAATTTAAACTCGTTGACTGGGTCCTGCTTTCCTAATCCATTTCATCAGCTCTTCCTGCCATATAGTGAGTAAACAAGTATATTTGATTTGACATTAGAGCTATCAAAACCTCCAATTCAGTTAGGTGAAACAAATCTTTTGACATGCAAAGGTTAATCTGTTAGAACTTTTGTGAGACAGGCAGCTGTGAAGAGCAACCCCAGGGCAAAATTTAAAAGCAGCCTGACAGTTTCTGCACGTGTTCACATCACAGTGTGCTTTCCGTTTGTTGCTCATTGACAAGTAGAATTTATGCGAGGCATAAATTCATTGGGAGTTCATGAGGGTTGGTTAGATGTTTGATAATACTCCTCATTGATGATACTGCTTGTTCTTCATTTTGGTTTTGGTTTTGGTTTTTTTAAAGAAATATTTGCTACTTCATTACGTTTCGTACATGTGGCCTCTAGTAGTGTATCACTCCTGTTATATTTCCTTCAAAAATATTTTGCTTACACTTCACATTGTATAATGTGAAGTGTATGCATAAGCATGTGGTGATCAAAATTGTGCTATTTTATATCGTGATATGATTCTAAAATTGCATGATTTTATATATCTGTTCGATTCTACAACTGTAGAAGCTCCTGTAGAAGTTACTGTCATATGAAGCTTCTACAGATTTTACATACTACTTCAACTATTTTCTGATCCAAGGCAGGCTTCAAATAAGTCTCATGTTTTATTTGTTTTTTATGCTTCAATGGGTAACAGTCCCTATAACTGGTAAGTATATGAGGAGATGCTGAAAAGCTGACAATGGAGAGATTTCAGATGCAATATGTATTCCAATGACGTATTGTATTTAATCTGATCTTAGCTTGTTATTCACACTTTTAGTTGGTTTAATGAAATATGCAATGAATCTAAAAACTCACAGGATAGCTAAAAAGATAATCCAGTTGTTTCTGGCCTCCTCTACAATACACAGGGTATAAAATAAGCCTGTGCTAGATTTAATATATGACTTTTTGTGTTTACTGTATACTAGTTAGGTGCTACAGGTACTAAAATGAAATAATACCTCGGTTCACAAATGCTTCTGTTCGCAAACACTTCAGTTCACGAACAGAAAGTTTTGCGAAATTATTTATTTATTTATTTAAAACATTTCTATGCCACCCCCATTGCAACAAAGCCTCGGGCGGCTCACAAAGAATACATAAAAACATACATAAATAATAATAATGTAACAATTAAAAAAACATTTAAAAACCCCCGGTGCATTCTCGGCTCAAAATTTTAAAATCCTAATTAATTCAATAATTTAACAATTAAAATAAGTTTTAAATAAAAAGGTCTTAGCCTGGCGCCAAAAAACAAATGGAAATTTTGCTTCCATTCACGAACTGTGCATCGGTTGACGAACACGATCACGGCCACCTTCCCAACATGAACACGGCCATCTTCCCTGGTCTGACACGTGATAGAGGCTTCCTCTAGTCGAGATAACAATCGCAGACTCTCCCTCCAAACAATAACCTCCTCCCCACCCACCTTCCTGTCCTCCACAGGAAGTTTAAAAAAATACATATGGTTCAGAACAGAGTAACCTTATTTACATAGAACCTTATGGGGAAATTTGACTCTGTTCGTGACCAGAATTGTGGGACGAATTAAGTTTGTGAACCGAGGTACCATTGTAAAAGATTTTAAGGCAACACGGTCCTGATCTCTCCCCATGCATCTGCTCCCCTCAAGTATGGGTGAATTTGCTCTGTAGCTCTACCACATGTCTGAATGTATCTACGAGAGCTGTGCTCAATTTAGGTGTGTAGCATGTGTTCCATTGTTAACGTAAAACCTCATGAGATGGTTTAAGAAATTCACTTTACTTGAACAGAAGAAGAAGATTGTTCTTTTAGTGCATCAGTCGGAATTTGGTCCTTGTTAGAATTTGAAATGTGTGCAGTTTAAATATGCATCTATTTCTGTCAGTGCAATCAGCACATGAAGTCACAAATATTTCTAGTTGATTGAGGCTGATCAGGATAGGGAAAGGGCATTCTAATTCAAAATGCAAGTTATCTGCTACTAAATACCATGTCTGTTTTCATACACAGAGGTTAAATAAATTTAGAGGCTGAGCATATTCTAATTATCTTTGAGTGCCTGCACCACAATAGCCCTGATATTCTTCTTCATATGTTTCCTCAATAAATTGCTGGTGGCTTTGGCTTTGGCTTTGGCTAGCAAGTGACTAAGACAAAGTTCTCTCATGAATTCTAGCATTCCCTCTAAAAGCATTAAATCCTGCTACTGATTAAAATTAGATGTGACCCTTCTCAGCAAAGCAGGGCTTTGTCTGGTATGTGATATTGGGGTAGCAATTCTTTGGCTTTTACACAGTGCCTGAGGGGCCATAGGATAGTTTGGATGTCTACCTCTGCCACCAGAAACAGCACTTTGACCTTGGAGCGGGGAGATAGAAATCCAAGTCCCCTTTGCAGCCAGTGTAGAAAGGACTGTACCAGCTGGCTTCCAAGGTTAGGAGCTTGAGCTCAGAGATGGGGAAAGGAGGGGGGTTCAGTGGGAGAGAAGGAAGCTGGGGAGGATGTGAATTATCTTGAGGCCTTTCCTGCCTCCTTCTCTTCCACTCCTAAACAGCTAGATGGGCAAAAAAGCCTGTCCAGCAAAATATACAGGGTGAGAGGGCAGAAAGGACAATGCATCCTGCCCCCAAGTTGAGATGCTTACAGTCCCCCATTGGATCGTTCCTTTGCTGTATCCGAACTCCCTGGCCTTAATGTAGGAGCATTGCCTTGGTCAGCGTCTATTGTGTACAGTGTAGCACAATGTAGCATTGACTTTTCTTTTTTGCCATTAACATTTTATTGTTTGATTATAAAATATTTGTCAAATATACATGATGGTGGTAGGGGAACCTATCAAGAACCAGTTTCCTGGCTTACCTAGCTGCATATAAATATGAACAAAATGTGACATTGTTTGGCCTTCAGAGCATAAGGCCATGGTCAATTTAGCTGACTATTTAGCTGACTATTCCAGTGCCTTGCCGTCATTTCTGGTGAATAGTGCTAGCTACAGAAAATAACCGTTGAGCCTATCCAGGTGCACAATAGTTTATACTTATATATTGTAGTTACTGCATGGAAACCACTTAAAATTTTTCCATGTACCTGCTGTTTTGCTCGGGATGAACAGTTTGGTATTAATGGCACACTGCATAGATCGTGTAATTTTCACCACAAGTGTCTGTCAGGCATCCATGAAATGTATAGGAGCCTTGGACCCAAGCAAGGATTGCCAGGGTTTCCAGAAACTCTCTCTTTCCTTGCTTAGTTAAGAGTAAGTAGAACACAGAGCAAACCCATGTGGTCCTGCAACGTGTTTTGTGGACACTGAGGTAGTCAATCATCTCCGAAGCCCATAAATAATGGAAGCTGATTACATAACCAGTAAGGGTTGGGAGAACATAGAGACTGAAGTGAGTATTTAAGCAACCTTGAGGCCCATGAAGGTATGAGCAGAGATTAGACTGGAGTTTGAACTTTCTCTGGCCTTCTATGTAGCCTAGGATTGGCCAACACAAACTGAAAATTGGGAGTTTAGACATCTCCTGCTGGACAGTAAACAGGATTTTTCAAAGTGTGAGCTCAGTTTCTTGTAAATATGAGTGTTTTGTTGTTTGTGCATCCCGTTAAATTGAAAATAGCTGCTTCCAAAACCTCTGCAGAGTGCTGCAGCAAGTTAATTTAAAACTGGACCATAGATCCGATGTTTAAAGTTCCTTTATTATTTAACAATGTTTTATTCTCTGGGATCTTGCAACCACAGATGAAAACCACAGTGCAACAGCAGAGTCAAGTCGTCTGTTAGATGTGCCTCGCTATCTCTGTGAAGGAACTGAGTCCCCATACCAAACAGGCCAACTACATCCTGCTATCAGAGTAGCTGATTTGTTGCAACATATTAACCTCATGAAAACATCTGACAGCTATGGTTTTAAAGAAGAATATGAGGTAAAAATGTCAGCTGTGACTTTTCAAAACTCATAGTAGGTGAGGCTCTTTGGCAGTGTAATTCTTGTTTGCAGGGAGTTCCTAATTGCAGGAAAATTAAAAGGAATGTTTGGTGGAATCACATGCTTAAAAGACCATTTTCATTCACTATTCAAGAAATACTGGATTTTTTCCACTATTGTGATAGAGTACTTTAACTAGGAAGTGTTTTCTTTGTACATTTACCTATTTGTAGTTCTTTAAGTACTTATACCTGAGATGCTAATATTGGGGAAAGCAAAAATAGCCCCATTCTCCTCACTGCAAGCATTTTATTTATGGAATGACCCAGAACTTTCCCAAAAGCAGCTGAACTTGGATTGTTCCAGAGTTGCTTCTGCCCCTACCAGCAGCTACATTCCAGACCAGCTTCCAGTGGAAGTAGGATTCTTCCAGCCCTAAGTATAATATGTTGACACCAGAAGAAATATAAGTACAAATATTTTAGAAGCTAAAATAAAATGTGTTATAAGAAACAATTTGTAAAATTATGAATACAGTATGCTTGAATGCTTTAATTTATTTTCCTTCTCTTCCCCCCCCCCCTTTTTTTAAGAGCTTCTTTGAAGGGCAGTCAGCTTCTTGGGATGTGGCCAAAAAGGATCAAAACAGAACAAAGAACAGATACGGAAACATTATAGCATGTAAGTCGAGGATGGATATTTAATCTTGCAAACAATGATGTGTATTATATTCTTGCACTGCACTTCTTTCAGTAACATCAGGCAGAATAGCATTTTACCCTGTGAAATAGATTGGGCAGAAATGGTGACTGCCTAAAAGTGCCTAGGTGGACCTCATGGGTGAGCAGATTTTTGAACAGGTCTCCCTTGTCTGTCATTTTTGCTATTGGATCCTACTGGTTCTGTATGTTGTATGCATATGTTTAAAATATTAATGTGTTGTACATCACTTGATACAGTCCAAGCACTCTGTATAGAGCAAAACGTCCAGGTCTTGTTACTTTTCGAGCCCTCATTTCATAATGTAAGGGTCTGCTGTCATGTTACATTAAAGTGCAATCACCTAAGAAAAAACGCCACTAAAAGTTGAGGATACCTTTCATGATTGTGGCCCCATCTGGGTAGCACATTATGGTAAGAATTGTGGCCTAATAAATTGTGGTGTGATTTAGCAGCCCATTTCCTCTTCCTGTCATACAGTTGGGCAAACAGACCAAGAACATGGGTCTAAGGTTAACTTAAGAATCCTGACTTCTTTGACACAGCCATAATCCTAGGATATATGTAATGTTGTTTACCCACTTGCATGATGGAGAAAGCACATGGGCTACACACCAACACATTGTGTGTTCATGTCCTACCAGGATTCCTGATGTCCCAATGAAGCCCCTTTGTTAAAGTTGTCCCTTTTTTCCTTCTGTGTTAAATCTGAATTCAGTGTTGCTACATTTCTTTTACTGTGCTACACCATATCTGATCTTCAGTTGTTTACTACTTATTCACTCCACCGCTGTGATTAGAATCAAAGAACTCTGACAGGCTCTCAGGAGTAAAGCTTTGATAGTTAGGACCAAAGCACAAACAAAATTTGATTACCATTTTACAACTAGAATAGCATCTGCTATCTCAGTGACATTGGGGAACGGCTGATAAAGGTTTAGATTTAGCTGCCCATCATATTCATATGCTTGAAAGAATATGTTTCCAACATCACCATTTTCAAGAACTAAGCATTTTAGCAAGAGTAATTGACCAGGTTTTTAACCCTTTGTGGCCCAGTTCTCTCCTTCATTTGGGAATCTCCCTTTCCCTGTTCTGCTAACAGGAGCCTCTTATCACCGGAGGAAAATAAGTTGGATTTCACCCCGAGAGCATATGCCATATGGCATTATTGTTCAGTGTATCATTCTTATGTATTCCTCATGGCTTTCCTTCCAAAGGGCTTTTCTTCCACTGGACAATTATCCATGGGTCAGTCATTTTAGTGAAAAAGACATGCCTGCCAGTGCATTGTGTCCCAGTATTGAAAATGGTAGCCTTTGACCTGTGTTGGCCATTTTAAATTGCCCTACTTAAGAGCTGCTTCAAAGAAACCACTGGAACAACAGCACTGATCTCCCTGGTCACTATAGATCCGCCTATATGGGGCAAAGTAAAATGCAGATTTCTCACATAGCTGGTTATTCTAGAGCAGAAGCTCAGCGCAGTGACATAGCTGCCACATCCAACTATTTAAAGTGGAGAGCAGCTTGGTGCAGCAAAGACTGAACTGAGCTATCAGTTAATAACAAGCAATTGCTCTGCTTTGCATCCTCTTTTGCTAAGATAGGTAGATCTCCTAAACTTATATAATAAAATCATTGTGTTTCTGTGAATGTGAAATTGTTCCCTTAAATAGGTTCAAGGTATTCACTGCAATATTTTGCTGAATGCTGATGCTCCCAGATAGTTTTTCAGTTTTATGCGACCCATTCCTATTGTGCATTTGTTCAGCAGACATGTTTGTCTCCTGTGTTTACAGATGACCACTCCAGAGTGATATTACAACCAGTTGAGGACGACCCTTCCTCAGACTACATTAATGCTAATTACATTGATGTAAGTGGATAAAGTAGCTTGCTTCTTTGCTTTCCAGCTTCTCTCTGTGAATCTTTTTTTGCATGCAATTCCTACAAATTGAAAGACAGCCTTTTTTTTAATTAAGAACAAAATGTACACTTTTCCTTGTTCTCCGTCCTAGTACTCACTGACATTGTTGTGCTTTCTTTCACATCTGACTTTGATTTGGGCTGTAGATTTGGCTGTACAGGGATGTAAGTACCACTATATGTGAATAACAGCATCCTGTTATGACTCTTTAATATAGCAAACATTCTCAGTTGCGTTACTCTTCTAATTTTTATTACTAGATATATGTGCATGCCTCATTTAATTAACTCCATTTATATATCTGGTCTTTTAAATGTTCCTTTGTGGTAATCTTTTTATGTTTGTACTTGTATTTTAAAAGTTAGCTTAGTCCTTTAATACAGTCATGAAAACCATTAGCTAAACCAGCTGAACTTTCTTGTTTAAGAAAAATCACATTTTGCTTGAGTATTATTTTTGTTTGCTTTGGTTACTAGCTTTTATTTTGCATTCCATTTTCATGTGAGAAGCTGGATAGTATGATGTATAGTGTTGCTCCTGAAAAGATGCCTGCTTAGGATATTGGAGCAGAACTTGGTGGAGGGATGAGGTTGTCTGCTTTTGTTGAAGGGAGTTGGTCTGAATAATGTTGCATAACCTACTGAAAACTGACTCTGGTATTTCTTATTCAAGTCAAAGGTCAATTAAATACTATGTGGTATATATAGTATATACACAAACATATATATTTAGGGACATAATGTATGTTTCCGGATGTATTTGAAACCATGTAATGGTCATGTTTTAGAGATGTGGCCTCCTCTATTACCTAAAAATAAATTATGTTAGATGATTTTGCTCAAGCTAGATGAAATGATGAGGCTAGACTAATATAAAATGACGGAAGGGCACCATCTGATGTCAACTGCCCTCAGTGCATGGACATTTCTGAACTTGGAGACTTGTGTTCATCCCACACAAGGATTGTGGTGTGGCAGTAGCAAGCTTCTCTGCCACCATGCATCATATCCTGCTTTTTATCTAGATGGCTGCTTTTGGCTCTCAATAGGAAGGGCTGTGGATGGGGAGGGAAGGAGCCTGTGGTACTGTCTGGATACAGCATACACTGTCTGGCCTAGGATCCTCCTCTCCCTACCCATTGGCCTGCCCACTTTCATCCTCTCTGAAGTCAGGTTGCAATCTTGGAGTGGCAGCTGGATGGAACTTGCCGTACCGGCTACAGTACAGATGGGGTTGAAACTCAGCCTTCAGATTTCCAGCCATGAAGTAACAGGCCCTCAGAGACTTTGAATAATCCTATGGTCTTCCAAAAAAGCTGTATGCTTTTAGTGCACAGTTAGAAAATGTGTGACAGAACACTAATCGATACTTTCGAGTGTGCACTTTTACAATATTTCTTCAGGCAGGCTTAGTCATGAGATTTGTTGCAAAAAAGAATGGCATATCTCAGTATTTAAAATTGATCCACTGATAATTTTAATTAAACTATTAAAAACTGATCATTTAATAAAACTAATAATTAGAATAAGTAATTACCTAATAAATTAGGTCACTGATTTACTGTTTGGAGAACAATATTTCTCTGTGCTTACAAGCAAGGTCGCAACTTTATATTGAGAATTTTCAACAGCTGCTGATTCTATCTTTAGAGGTTTCCTTTTCACAGTAGTAATTTCTTACGTCAGCTAAATGAGCGTACTGTGCTTAATAGAAGAAATTTTACAATCCTCCTTCTTCCATAGTTATTTTTAAGAATGAGGATAATGCATAGCAATATTGAGGATAAACATCAATGACGATGTCATTTGCAAGAGTTTAAGTCTTGCTTATGAAGCTGATACGTCACCATTTCCTTCCAAGTCAGGACTATTAAATTGCTTAATTCCTGTGGTCCTATTGGCAAAAATGTGGCATTTCAATAAAATAATTTACATCTATTTATCTTTTTATAGTTCATATTCTAATATAATGAAATTAATAGTGGTCAAAACCACTTTCCAAAATACAGTTTGTCCTTACACTGGAAAATGGTCATGTAGGGAAAGTTCAATTGTACTATATATGTGTGTGTGTATATACATGTCTTTATGTAAAGTGCTATACATACACACCAGTTATTTTATTCTAAAGCTCTGCTTTATTTAATTGCACAAAATGTTCATACAATATTGCATGTAGATTTTGAATCTGCACACATACACATTGTCCAGCTCTAACATTCAGCTATTCTGCTCATTATTTATGGCTCTAATATTTTTGTGCGTTCATAGTGAGTTAGTATTTGCTAATGAGGTCTGATTGTTTCACAGCTTATTAAATGAAGAAGCAAATGGAACTACATACATTATAAAAAGTTTATACTTCTTATAAGCTTATACATTCACAAAACAAGCACAAATCTTTTTTAGATGTCAGCAGTCATAGAAAGAAGACACACCTATTACAAAGCACTAAGCTAATGGTATTCCTTATAGCAAATACTGTAATAGGTTGTATGACACTTCTATCCAATTTTAAGCTCACTTACTCAAAAATAAAATGTATGGAAATTAGTTGGGCTGCATTCCAATTCCAACAGTATATTTGAAAGTTTGCAAAAAAAGATCGGAACATAAGAGCCTTGCTGGATCAGACCAATATCTTTCTAGTTCAGCATTCTTTTGGCACTATGGCCAACCAGGTACCTATATAAATCTCACAAATAGGACACGAGTGAAACAGCACCTTCCCAGCCATGTTTCCTAGTCACCGTTATTGAGAGGTATGATGCCTCTAAGACTAGAAGTAATACACACCCTTCCTAATTAGCAGGCATTGATAATCTTACCCTGTGTGAATTTGTCTAATCTCCTTTCAAAGCTATCCAAATTGGTGGCCATAATTACATCTTACAGAAGCAAATTTCGTAAAGGAAGTAAGTGTTAGGCAACTGAATACGGTTGACTGCATTAGTTTCTACAACTACCACTATGTTATTTTGACAAAAAGCTAAATCTTGAAAGTTCTTAGGTATGCCTTCATTTTCCCTATTGAATTCTGCTTTTTAAGCTAATAGGCAACTGTAGAAATCAACTTATTTTGCTGTTTCAGGGATACCAGAGGCCAAGTCACTACATTGCAACCCAAGGTAAGAATTTGCTAGAGTATTTACAAAGTTGCAACGGGAGGTGGGGGGAAGTCTGGTGTTCTGGAGTGGGGTTTTAACACTATGCTGATGATACTCAGTTCTCTCACTCCTTTTCAAGCTGATGTCAAGGAGGCTGTAGAAGATCCAGATTCATATCTGGATACAGTGGGGAACTGCATGTGGGTGAACAAACAGAGGTTCCATCAAAACAAATTAGAAATACTGTGAACAGTAGACAGGCCAACTTGGGATTGGGAGTGAATTGGGAGTGACCTTGGATAGCAGAGATGATTCTTCTTCTCTGAGCTTTTAATAGTTATTGTTATGATTTTTATTAATAATCCTTAGTTTTAAAGCATGTTTTAGGTTTTGTGGGTGTTTTAACCTTTCTAGTTTTCTAGAATATCACTTCACATATGCACTGAATGAAGGAGCAATTTAAAATAAACCTAATGCAATACATATTAGTGGCATCAGGGTGACTGTTCAGTACCTGTGCTGTTGGACCAGCTGATCTGGCTGCCCCTTCTTCATCTAGATAAAAATCAACATCCAAGCTCTAACTCATAGTGCTAGCCATGGCATACATGGGTATGGAATTAGGAATAGTGTGTATTTGAAGGTGGCCTGAAATAAAACTTCACAGCACTCAAGTGGAATATGGATAATGTTAGCTGGACTAACTAGTTGATGACTCACACTTCACCACCATACCCTCCATGGACTATTAGCTTCCTATCTCTTACCCTTACCTTAAGGAAGCTGCAAATTATGCTGTTATGTCAACATAGCCTTCTGCATCCCATTCACCCAAACCCAATACAAGGGGGAAAAGTATTAAAGGCATTAAGCTTGGGAAAGGGATAGGGCTCTTTCGGTATTGCAGCTAGGTTCTTATCGCAAGCTCAGGCAAAAGTGGCAAGCCCCTTCTGAAGTTAGGCTCTGGAGTGGGGCCATGGATCTTAGGTCTGTACAGTAATGTAAAAGATAGTGTGAATGTGGCTGAAAAGAGGCAGAATCCCAGTTTTTATCAGGATGTTGTTCTTGTCACAGCCCAAACTGTTATGAAGAATGCAATTAATCTAAGTTTATCATTTTGGAAAATGTAAGAAATGATAACCAGAGTACATTTTTCCCAGCTGTGTCAGGTAAGAAAGACATAAGGAGATTTCTATCTCTTCGGTGCTTAGCTGAACCAGTGGAACATATGTTGCAATTTACCCGTGAAAGTGTCCAGAATATGAGTCGTTCAGCATCTCAGATCATACTGATGTTTGTATAGGTTCCGCAACATGAAGCAGTATTAAATACTGATATTTAATTTTATCTAATATATCTGCAATTAATGCCTGTTGTTGCTTTGTCAAGTACAGTAAATAATAAAATGTGCAGATTTCTATTTGATGTGTTTAAAAATTGCATATTGGAGTTCCTGCACAGATGTTGACTGTCACTTGTTGACTGTTATTTAGCCTGAAAAACTGAAATTGAAAATTGGTTCTGTTCAAAATGAATTTCTCTTTCCATCTTCTTATTTTGAGCTGTTTTGGTTGAGGAATGATTTAAGTTGCACTTAGCAAGGAACTGAATCTGATGGCCCTCTGGATTTTCCAACTCTACTGCTCTATGATTTAGGCCTGATGTTCTATCTAACAAATATGTTTAGTCAGCAGTGTCTTCTGTCAAAATGCTAGAGACAAAGGAGGCATTTGATTTCTACCATGACCAATCGTATGCCTCCACAAAGTACATCAGGAGGACATGAAGGAAGTAGTCCTCTCCAAGTGAAGTTCCCAAGCAACTGGGACCTTTGGAAAATATCCAGTTTGTCACAGGTGCTAACAAAATTATGTTGCACTAGCTCAATGGTAGGCAACATTTCGAGACCATGAGCACATTTGCAATTTGAGAAACTCGTGGGCACTACAGGAAAAGGGCTGCCTTGGGAGGTGTGGCAAAGGACAGGTAACCTGCCCAGACATCTGAGTATAAGGCAAGGACCCCAACACACTAATTCACTTCATTGAATGCAGGTTTCAGCACCAAGAAAAATCTATTCCACAGTTGTCCCAGCTGCTGACAAGAAAATGTTTGATTTATTTTATTTTTTACTGAGAGTAGATAGGTCACTTTCTTGTCCCCCAAGGAAGGTGTCCGGAAGCACTATGATGTGTCAGTGACTGCTACTGCAGCACCAGTGGGTTTTCCAGGAAATTCCATTGGACCAGCAAACACTATTTGCATCACAGTAGAGGTCAAATAGACCGGGACAACTTAACTTATGTTAGAGCTAGTGTCAAATTAGGTATTGTCCCTGAATCTGGAGGTGACAGCCATCATGATTAGAAGCCACTGATAACATTACCCAGCATGATTGGTCCATAATAAAGGGATATTAATTAATTTATACTAATAAAAACTGAACTAGTACTGGTACCAGAATTTGAACTATAAGGGGCAAATACAGATTAATGTGTCCAAGGCTTGCTGCCTGCATGGAAACAAAGTTGTTGTATAGTATAATAAACCTTGCTATCTGGAAATTATAGAATCATAGAATATTAGTGTTGGAAGGGGCCAGAAGCCATTGGATCCAACACCTTGCTATTGCAGGATACTAAGTAGATCAAATGAGGTTTTCCATATCTATAGTAAAAGCTATGATAAGGTGACTTTCCATGTACTAAGGTACTCATGCTGAAGCACTGCTAATTCTACCATTTTCTGGTGTAAGGAAAATATTAGAGAGTCTTAAGACTTACTTTAAAATCACTAACTAATAATCTAGTTTTAATGAGATACTTCAACCCTAATGATGCATAAATTATTAATGTGCAGCAGTTTTAGAAGGATTACAGGAGTCCTTCATACCTAATGAAATAACTGACAGATATTTTGAAGATCAGTGGTTTTGCAATGATTGCCATTCATTTAAGAGCATATTCTTTTCAGGTCCAGTCCATGAAACTGTGTATGATTTCTGGAGAATGATATGGCAAGAACAATCAGCCTGCATCGTTATGGTTACAAATTTAGTTGAGGTTGGGCGGGTGAGTATCGCCATAAAAAATATTGAATTCATAGGAGACCTGTGTGACATTGTGATTCCTTCACTCAAAAAAGTAGAAGCTAGAAGTAAAGCTACCATAATTTCAAAACAAAGAGTACAATGCAGACTATCCTACCAGGTTTGTGTAAATGATTTGTGAAGTTTTCTTGTGTGTGTAAAATCGGGTGTGTTTATCCCAAATTGCATGATTGATGTATGTAGAATATCACATACATGTTGTGCGATTTAGGTTTTATTTTAAACATAGGATGCATTCATTCATTCATTCATTCATTCATTCATTTGTGTCCTGCCTTTTTCCTCTCAAAAAACTAAAGGTGGCTTACATAATTCCCCTCTTCTCAATGTTATTCAAGAACAAGCCTGTGCGGTAGATCGGGCTGAGATGCAGTGGGTGGCTTAAAGTCACCCAGTTATAACACTATGGGTGAGTGGGGTCTAAAATCCAGATCTCTTGAGTCCTAGTCCCATACTCTAAAAGACTACACCACACTGGTACTTACGGACGCAGGAAGGGCCTAGAAGTGAGATTAATGAATCTGGAGCACAAGGCTTAAAAGTATAATCTCATGCCAATACCATCTGTAAGGGAAAAGGTTACCTGAACAGGTACAAGACAACCTTGATGGATTATCCCATCTCTTGACATGGACAACAAACAAGTTTAGTATTAATGAAGATCATTCAGTGTAGCCCACTGTCCAGGATGATCTGCTAAATTTGCTATAGCCTTTAAGCATATGCTCCTGTGCTGTGCTTCACTTTTTCTGGATGCCCTAAAATCATTTTATGGTCTACCTGACCGTGATAACAACAGGAAAAAGTAAAATCAAATATAGAGTTTGCATTTGATAGTTTTAGCTTTACCACTTTAATTCTATCTGTAAAACAAATGAAATGGTCACTATTAAGTCATAGGCAGGTGAGTACTAACCCATGTTGAAAAACGGGATAATATGATACAGCTCAGCTTAAATGGGAGTGCTCAGGACTCAGTTACTACACATCTTTTCAGCCAATTTCCTTTTCAGTTTCATTCATAAATTAGCATGTACATTATTCTAGGTAAAACCAGAACCATGTTGTACATCTTCCAGTTCATGTATTTCTTTGGTTTGGAGATATTTTAAAATGTTGTTTGTAGGTTAAGTGCTACAAGTATTGGCCTGATGATACTGAAGTTTATGGGGACTTCAAAGTCACTTGTGTTGAAGTGGAACCACTTGCAGAGTATGTTGTCAGGACATTCACCCTTGAAAGAGTAAGTATCTCTGAAATTTCCTGTATATTCAAAATGTGCTTTGAATTGCCAGTTTCTCACAAAGTCTGAAGATGACCATTAAGCCTTTGTTTCTTCCTGTATCTCTTCAGCAATCTTGCTTCCATTTTTCTACTCTCAAAGTAGTGCATATTATTCAGCTATTATGTGTACCATTATCACATGTTTGCAGACATCTTTCCACTACATGCTTAAACTGCTTCAGTCATAATTCTGTCTTCCATGGGTATCTGGTAAATCTGGGCTGGAGCCATATTAATTACTCTAGTGTAAATAAATGCATTTCTAATACTGATATAGCCTTTGCTTCAGTTCAGTTTATAAAGTTTCAGGACTATGTTCCTTAAGGACTAGTTCAAGGTATTTTCAATTCTTGCATGCAAACATAAATGTCACATCCTGGACTTCTTGGGAAATTGTTCATATGTAGTTGTAATTTTATGATACATACAGCATTGACTCTGTAAATGTACTGCTTTCAAGCTATGCTGGAAAATATTGCTTCATTCAGCATAGTATTTGGTTTATGAAGAAAGCAGATGAAGATCAAATGACAGATTGTATTTATAGTCATGCATAAATTCCACTGCAGAAGTTCCATTTGAAGCAACAATTGTCATATTTTTGGCTTCAAAGACTAACAAAAATGTTTATTGATTTTGGCAGTAGTTGTGCTTGCCTCAAAATTCAGTACTTTTATTTTAATGTGTCTTTCCCCTCCCTTCCAATAATTCATCAAATGAAGAAAAAATATTGATGCTTCTTTTGTTTTCTTTTTTCCATTTTGACAGAGAGGTTACAATGAAATCCGTGAAGTTAAACAGTTCCACTTTACTGGCTGGCCAGATCATGGGGTACCTTACAATGCAACAGGCCTTCTTTCATTTATACGTCGTGTGAAACTGTCCAACCCTCCTAGTGCAGGGCCTATTGTTGTGCATTGCAGGTGTGTAGAAAAGAGGTAGATGCATTTTCTATAATTTTTCAGTGTGTGCATGGACTGTAGTCTCTTGTGAAGTTGTCTTAGTGTGACATTTTGTTTTTGGTCATATATCTTGGATTATTTTTCCAATAAACTGTAATTTGGAGCAGTGGTATAAACTTCCAACTTTGTTAAGGTATAAGGGTAGTTGAGGGTCATTGGTTCTCCACAATTCTCATATATTAGTGGACTATAGCTCTTAGCTCCCTGAACACTGTCCATGCTTTCTTGCTATGATGGGGAGATCTGGTTTAGATGTTTGAAAAGAGTCAATGTGGAAGATCCCATCTATTTCAAGAAATGCAGGTAAATAGAAGAATACAGGACCTACCAAAGCATCTCAGGTCACAGTCACTGCTTCACTGGCAGATATGAATGCAAAAGCTAAATATTTTCCACCAAATCTCATGTGAATGGCTGAAAAACAGCAGCTGATATAATGAGGTATTGCTCTCTTCTAAAGCCTGAATTTCTGAATAAATTTTCAAACTTCAGAACTGACCCAACGCATGGCTTTTTGATTAGGGTCTTGAATTAAATTTTATGTTTTAAATGATTTAACAGGCATTGTTTTAGTTGCTGTCTTCAGAATCAGCTAAGAATGTGTTTCATGCATTGCACTATTTATTTAAAACTTGGAAGGACAGAAAACACTTTGATTAGGAACTTCTCCTGTGCAAGTTTTTTTGAGATACAAGATAAGCACTGCATCAGAACAGCTCTGTTACCAATGCTGCTATGTACCATTTGATCAGCTTTAATCAGATTCTGTTCCTTATGTATGCAAATTGTGAATTCTCTCAAAAAGAACAAGAGAGGATTTTTTTAGAAATCTTAAAGCCTTTGCCCAAGTGTAAAACACTTCCTCTTGCACAATTTTCACCAATCTCCAACTATCCACTGTAGCCCAGCTGTGCATCCTGAAGATCAGAGAACCTCCAAAACAATATGGTATAGAAGATTATAGTATGTAGGGGAAACCCATCTTGCACAGAAGTATTTTCCATTGGCATAAAGCTACCACTGAATACAACTTTAAGATTTTTAATTGATACTGTGTTGTGGGTGTGCTTTTGTTTGATAAGATTGAGGGTTAACTCTATAAATTGTTTTCTGATTCATTCAAGTGCTGGAGCTGGACGAACTGGCTGTTACATTGTAATTGACATCATGCTAGACATGGCAGAAAGAGAAGGTGTTGTGGATATCTACAATTGTGTCAAAGCATTACGTTCACGGCGCATCAATATGGTACAGACAGAGGTATTATCTACTGTTAATAGTCAATGGTCCAGTACTCTTCTTGGATGTATTTAGTTAGGTTTCCTAGAAACATCAAAGAACATTGATGTATTAGTAGTGCAGTAAGCAATTAATATAGTCCAGATGATTGAGAGCAGGGGAAAGTGTAATGATAGAGGTTTATAAAATCGCAGAGCTGAGTGAAAACATGCTTGATTAACCTTTTCAGTTTGAGAATGGGGGAGTAAAAAACACACAGTGCTTCCCTAACTTTTTCCCTCAGTTACTATAGCCTGTTCACATATTCTTAGCAGCAAACATCAAAATGCTCTCTGCTATTTTTTCTTTGATACTTCCTAGTTTCTTCCTAGCAAAGAAGAAAACAAGCTTTGGTTAAGCAGATCTTTCTCTACTTAACCAGGTTGTTCTCTGCCTAGACATGAGAAAGTAGTTTATGGGAAGTAGGAAAGCATTCTCCCAGTACCTGTTGATGTCCCGGCTAATGGCTGCAGTTCAAGTTGGCCGCCCTTTAAGCTCTCCAATTCCAAATACAATCAATGCTACACCAGGAATGCTCATAACATGCTGTCTTGGCAACAATCCAGTAGATATGTTCAAAATGTGCATGCAAACTTTCATTGAACAGAGCTAAAATTTGCTTTTGGATGACAAATATGTCTATTTCACTTTCAAATATAAGTTCAGTGTGCCCCATTTTTGCATCACTTTGTGGTCTTTAAAAAGTTTACTTGTAAATGTGTGTACAATTTTTCTACACAGTTTCCCTAATATGCAAATTCTTAATCAAAGAATGGCATTTTAAAATTTGGAAAAGTACAAAAATGGAAGGTAATTGCATTGCATTTTGTGTATCAGTTCAGAAAGTACAAATTAAATTTCTTCTTCATAAAATACAAAGCAAACCATTTTTGCCTCATCCTTACTTCATGCAGCAAAATAAACTGACAGCATGTGTACTAACGTTATACAAGAGGTCTTCCCATTTTGTCTTTTATGCAAAGTTTCATTTGTGCTAATACATTTATTTTCCCAGCAATGCACTTGGCGTTTATGCAAAATAACATAACCCGCCCAGGCCAGTTCCTGCCTTGAGGAACTTATAGGCTAAGTAGAGAACAAGTTATAAGCGAACTGGGCTCTGCTTTACTGTGTAGATCTAGTGACACTGATGTATACCATATTTCAAGGCTGAGAATGTGGCCAGCATTGAAGAATGAATATATAGCAGTTTGTCTCTGCATTCATAAGGAGTGTTGGTCAAAACCTGTCCAGTTCATTGTGAAATGGTCTGTTCTTTCCACTCTTTTGAATACAGCTTTGTTCTTTTCCAAGAATTCTTCAGAACTTTGAAAGCCTCACCTTCTCCACCATTGCCGGCCTTCTTATCTGTCACTTCCTTTTTTTCCCCACTTGTTCTTAAGCTTCCATCTTGCAAGGGAAGAGACAAATGGTGGGAAAGGGCTTTGAAATGGGCCTTTAAAAATTGAGACATCTCTTTACATTTCTAGTTCTCTGGTATGGAGTTTCCAGAGCATGTCTGAACTTTTCTATTGTGAATATGGGATTGGGAATACCTCCTTTTCGGTTCACCCTTATCTAGAAATCTGATGTATTCTTAAAAAGTACAATTCCTAGAGTTTACATCAGCAGGAATGGAATTGCTATTTGAGAGTTGTAGAATTGTTATTTGAGAATTATTTTCCTATCCAGCAAGCCATGCTGCCTGTGTTCAGATGATACAATAAGCCATCACTGGGCAGGTAATTTGGCATCTGGTGCCCACAGCTTAAACAAGCAACAGTGATTCGGTGAACCTGTCTTGTCTTGGACTGAGCCAAGGTGAATTTTGGAAAAGCATTGGATCTGGTTTTCTAGATTTATGAACTGAGAAATGGTGTTCTCCATTCTTCTCCATCCTTAATTATGAGGAACTTGAAATTTACATTCTTAAATTAAAGATGTATGTTTTCATAATTTAAGAAGAACATTTTGCTATATGTTCTGCCTGATCTTGATAAATGGAGATACTCCAAGCAATTAATTCAGAGCTAGATATTTTAAATACTATTTTTCAGTATTAAGAATGAAAACAAGTTGCCTTCAAGGCAGAAACATAAATATGAAACACTTCTAAAACATTAAAGCTCTACTTTAAGCAAAGTACTACCTTTGCCATTGATTATCATTGGACTTAAAATTTGCCATTCTCAGGAAATCAACCTAATTAAATGAAACAGACTTTATTTAAAGTGCTTACGCAGTAAAATAAATGGATTGAGTTAAGCTGCCTTGAATAAGACTACAAGTGAAAAAGTATCTAATTTTTGTACCTTTTAGAAATATTGCTAGAATATTCTTCTTTTCCATCTTTGGCAGGAACAGTATATATTTATTCATGATGCAATTCTGGAAGCCTGCTTATGTGGAGAAACAGCCATCCCAGTCTGTGAGTTTAAAGCTGCATATTTTGACATGATAAGAATAGATTCTCAGACAAACTCTTCACATCTCAAAGATGAATTTCAGGTACTTTAAACTGCTAGCAGTTCTTTATATAGCGACAACTTCATTGCTTCTAATATATGTAATTTCTCCCAGTTTTTATATCAGATTCATAACCTTTGACCATCTGGTTGTATTAAGCTTAATGGATCACCTAGTTCTTTCACCATGTGCTTTGCAAAGTCATCTATAAATGCAGAATACTGTTGTCTGATTGTAATTGCCGTAGACTGCCAGATCATTTAAACAGCAGTGACCCTTGACTTGCCAGAATTGATTTTGCATTTTAAACAAGTCTGAAACACCTTGCTTGAATTTCTTATTTTCCACTTTTTGGTAGGATGCAAATTGAAAACCAGTTCAGTATCTGGATACTTTCTTTTTTTCATCCTTGCTAATCTGCAAAAGCAATTCAAGTGGGCAAGCCTTTCTTTTTCTCATGGCTTTCACAAATTCCATCTTGCAAGGTTATTTAATGCCCAGTTTATTTGTCTTAGATGCAAATGCACAAAGGTTTCTTCATAACAAAGGTTTCCTCTGCCCTTTAGACCCTGAATTCTGTGACTCCTCGACTACAGGCTGAGGACTGCAGTATAGCATGCTTGCCAAGGAACCACGACAAGAACCGCTTTATGGACATGCTGCCACCTGACAGATGTCTGCCTTTCTTAATTACTATTGATGGCGAGAGTAGCAACTATATCAATGCTGCCCTTATGGACGTGAGAGACTGTTTCCTTTGTTTATGTAACATTCCCTGAAAAGATGCATAATAATGTGCCACAAACCTTGCTAGTAAAAGAAAGGATAAACTGCCTGTCCTGTAGTATTCAGTAAAATGGTCTTTTTAAAGGGGTACATTAAAACATGAGTAAAGATCTCTAAATGCCCACTAATTGTTCTCTGAGTTACTGAGTCCAGTTGAAGACTTCCAGTGGGTTGCTGGAACTGAAAATTAATGAAGGGAAACTCTAGCATGACTTTTCTGATGTGTCTGTTAATTGCAGCCAGTTCTAGGTGTTTGTCTTTTACTAATGAGTATAATCCCAGGAGAAATAATAGATAAGTGAGCAGAATAGTGAGGAAATAGTATTCCTTTCTACATATTGCACAGCTGCTGCCATCTGTACATACATACTGAGTTTTTTGTATGCCGATTGTATGCTACAGCCGATTGGAAGAAAGTGTGTGCTTTGCATGCCAATGCCCCTAGGTTCAATCCTTGGCATCTCCAGAGAAGCCTGGGAAAGGACTTCTGCCTGGAACTCTGCTATGGCACAGCTAGTCAGAAATTTCCCTATTTTCCAGATCTGTTTGGATAAAAAGGGGATATCCAAACAAGTGACATGATTTTCAAGGATGGTGGGCTCATCTAGGCTGGTGTCACATTTCCTTAATATCAAAAGAGCTATTGAATATCTATAGTACAGAGTGAAAGTGGATTCCCCTGCAAAGAAACATGCAAGTTATACTGTTGTTTGGTAAACAGGGCTAACAATCTCTTATCAAAATTACCTTTGTAATTACTGCATGTAACAACAACCTATGGTGAATTGTTGAGGTACCTCTGTTTAATTGTGTAGCAACTCAGAGCTTCAACTTAAGGCATTCACAGGTCAGAACTGAGGACTGTCTTGTGTTGCTTCTGAGAAATGATTTAAAGCAAAGGAATGAGCACATGGAAGGCTATCAGTTTATGAGTTAAGAACCCATGAATTACATGCAAAGCAGGTCAATAACTTCAAAAACCTGTTAGTGCTCAGTGACTCTATAACTCACTTGGGAAACATTTATGATTTTTCATGAGAGTATCTTCACATCCCAAATATAGGAAGTGTTTCATCTTATTGCAATATGGTGCGTCCTGAACATGAAATAAACCAGAAAATTGGAATTATCATGAACTGGTCTTCCGTAAGCAGGGAACAGAGCAGGCAGCAAAAGGCTTGACTTCTGTGGCACTAAGAAGGCAAGGCAAATAAAACATATTTTTTTAAAGTTGAAAATGGCTAGAGGGACAGATAAAAGAAATCCCACATAGTTCCTGATTAAGTGTGATTGTTAGCTATGCACTGATCTGGGGAAAAATTAGTACAGAAATGCATCTTTCCTCTATCAACATAGAGTGACATCATGCAGCTTGGGAGGCTGTGAGCACAGTAGGCCACAAAGAGATGTCCCAAGAGGAGACTGAGCAGTCTATGCCAAGGCCACGTGAGAGTTGTGTAAGACCCACAGTATTAAAACAAATGTGCTATGAGAGGCATGCACTAGAGAAGCCTCTGAATGCCTCATGGACTCATGCATTTGGCATGCGTAGGCATAATCTCAATGCCCAGTGCTAAAACCACTGCCCTTTGTTTTTCTTTTTTTGAACATCTCTAAGGGCTAACAAAATATTCACACGTCCGGAGGTTCCAGAGCTGCCCTGCTCTTCTGTAAAAAGCAGAGCCAAAGGACCATGCATATCCTGGCTGAGGGATTTAAACTTGTTTGGATTGCCTTTCCCTTCTCAGGAAGAAAAGAGTTAGCCCTTCACTGCCTGTTCTGCCCCCAGCCGACTGAGAACAATGCTGACCATGTTTTAGGTGTCCTACAAATACTTTAACATTTTGCAAATCTTTCTATATCACTTCTGTATTTTGTGCACTAGAGACCCTTCCGATCTCTGTATAAGATTGTTATTGATTGCAGTTCTCTTTTAATGCCTCTTTTTAAAATGCAGAGCTACAGACAACCTGCTGCTTTTATTGTCACACAACACCCTCTGCCAAACACTGTGAAAGATTTCTGGAGATTAGTATATGACTATGGCTGCACCTCTCTTGTGATGTTAAATGAAGTTGATTTAGCACAGGTCAGTCCTTCATGCTCAAGATTTTTTGCAAATGTTTGTGCCAAATATCCTTAATAAGACATGGATGCATTCAGTCACTGAACCATACTGGACAAAGTTCAGCATGGGGAAATGCTGGCTTCTTCAGCACTTCCAGGTGAAGGAAAATCTGGGGTCATTAAACCTGCAACTAAGGAGCAATCATGTAACTTCTCTTCTTGAAGCCTACTGCAGTTGGATAACGAATGAGTTATTGAGAGTTTGATGATTTGGCAGAAAATACCATAACTGTAGCAAATTGTACTGTACAGTGTATCAATAATGATAATTCATAAAGATGAATAATGTTAGTAATAATTTAATTATACCTTATTATTATTATACAGGGTTGCCCACAGTATTGGCCAGAAGAAGGGATGCTGAGATACGGACCTATTCAGGTGGAATGCATGTCTTGCTCAATGGACTGTGATGTAATAAACAGAATTTTCAGAATATGCAATTTAACAAGGGTAAGGAATATGGTAATTCAGGTTAAGAGGACAATTCAATCTGTTGAGCTGTTTTTTAGAGACAGAGCTTCACCACTAAGAAAGCACTGGACAAAACCTAGCTAACATGCTTTTAAAATAGGTTGGATGAGTCAAGGGGTTGAATCCAAACCAGGTCTTACTAGAATAGACCCAGTGATCCAACCCATAGTTTGTATCATAGAATAATTTATTTGCTTTCCCTATGTGTGGCCTTTGTTGAACTACAACTCCCATCCCCCCTGAGCATTCGCTATGCTGGCTGGAAGTTGTAAAAATATAGTCTATAAATTGTGAGATGCGAAGCCGGATGTAGTGCTTTCATAAGCGGGGCATTGTTTACATTATGAAGAGAAGCATTTCATCCTGTTACAAACATTTATAAAATACAAATGTTCACTGTTTACTACAGCATTGTTTGACCCCACAACTATGAGCAGGTTTAATTTTATGTTCAACTCATTTCTTGAATTTTTGTACAATTAAAGAAAGTGATGCCAACATAGCTTCCATTTCCTTTACAGATATATTTTCAATAGCTACCCAGGCCACCATTTTCTCAATAGTGTCAAGTCCTCATGTTTCCTTTCTTTTAACACTGTCATACCCAAAATTGGGAAGATGAATAATAATTCTTTAGGTACACAAAACAGCTATCGTACCTCTATTCCCTTATCTGTTTTTATTATTTCTCCTTGCTCTATAATACTTGGTATGATATAAAAGTGTGAGCTTTATTGCATTTGTATGAAGCTATCAGTAATATTGTTAATTTATCATTTTTCACCTTTGAATATGGGAAATTCTGAGGATTAATTTGGTGGATTCATTTATTTATTTAGATGTTTCGCCCAACCCATTAGGCATAAGACTCAGTTTGATTTCTGTTGACTTTGGGTAGCATTCAAAGGTAGTTTGTGTGAGCTGAAAGCCAGTTTTATTTCTGAACAGCAGCTCTTCCCTATTATACTGGCACAAAAGTTAAGTAAACACTTGTTGGTTGCATATGCATTTCCCCTGTCGCCGAGTCAATACTTCGTAGAAGCCCCTGTAAGAGCAATTTTAGCCTCAGGTCTTCTTGAGTAAGTGTGTATGAGCTTTGCAACTCTGCAGTATTTTCCCATTCTTCCTGGAAAAACTGCCCCATCTCTGCCAGGTTGATTAGGGACTGTTGGTGAACAGCAACGTTCATTTCTTGCCACAAATTCCAAATTAAATTGAGCTTGGGGCTTCGACTGGATCATTCTAAAATGTTCAGTTTCTTCTTTTTAAACTACTCCAGTGTTACTTTGGCTGCAGGTATAGCATCATTGTCCTGGTGGAAGATGAACCTCCAACCCAGTCACAAGTCCTTTGAAGAGTAAAAAGGGTTCCCTTCTAGAAGTGCCCTGTATTTCTCTCAGTCTAGCCTGCCCTGAATCTTGACCAGCTTCCCAATGCCTGGGGGGGAAAACATGCCCAGAACATGATCTGCCACCACCATGTTTCACTGTGGGGATGGTGCTCTCAGGCCAATAGGCACTGCTGACTTTCTATCACACACAGCATTTTAGAGCAAGGTAAAAAAGTTCAATTTCGGTCTCGTCATACCTTAATCAACATGTTTGTTATGTCTCCCAAAAATCCAAACATGCTTTGATAAGACTTTGTTTGAATAATGGCTTTCTTCTCACCACTGTTCCATAAAGCCCAGCTTTGTGGATCATACAGGTGATAGCTGGTCCATGGGTGGCTCTTTGGTCTCAGCTGTGGTTCTCTCCAGCTCCTTCAGAGTAGCCACTAGCCTCTTGCTTGGTTCTCTAATGAATGTTACTGAGTTTTAGTGGATGGCCTACTTTAGGCAGAGACTAAGTTGAATCATACTCTTTTTTTTTTTTAATAATGGATTTAACAATGCTCTGGGCAATATCCATTTTAATGATCCTGCCTTGACTGATGTGTTGGCACACTTTTTTCCCAGAGTTGCTTAGTAATTCCAAGGTCTTCATGAAGATTTTGGTTAGGTATGTCCTCTAACAAACTCTAGGGTCTTCCAGAAACAGGTTTATTTAATCCAAGATCATGTTCCACTGGAATTTCACGTAGGTGGAATCCATTCAACTGCTAACACTGACATCTGGCTGCAGAGGGTTTCAGCAGACTTTATTTGGCTATGTCACAGCAAAGGGAATACTTAGGCATCCAACAAGTGTCCACAATGTTTTATGCTAGGTTAACCCATTATTATTATTATTATTATTATTACTATTAGATTATTTACCTTGTAACTTAAATTGGTCTAAACCATTTTGATATTCTTCAGCTTACAAATTTGCAATGTTCAGTCTGATGTTGTTGACTTTTTATCAGCCTCAGGAAGGCTATCTGATGGTACAACAATTCCAGTATCTTGGATGGGCATCTCACAGGGATGTGCCAGGCTCCAAACGGTCATTCTTGAAGTTAATTCTTCAAGTTGAAAAGTGGCAAGAAGAATGTGAAGAAGGGGAAGGGAGAACTATAATTCACTGTCTGTGAGTACAGCTTAATAGTCTGTCATCATAAAATTATTTTTAAACTGTGAATTGGATGCCATGCAAAAAAAAAAAAAACAATGTTCTAGGTGTGTTTTGTTAAAGGAATGGTATGCTGTTCTCATATTTCCTCAATCAGAGATTATTTGGCCCAGGCTTTTTCAAACATATTCTAGGTACAGTGATTGTCAGGGATCTGTAACTGAATGTTAATTGAGTGCTAAAAATAGGCATTAGCCTTTGTCTAATTATATTTTGTATTCAAGTGCAAATATTTTGCTTTTATTGGTTGCAGTTTGCCATGTTATAAAATTATGTCTTAATTTTTCTGTTGTGAGCTAGTTTGGAAATCTGACTACAGAAAAAGGTATAAAATAAATAAGCCCAGCAAGGTATCCTAGAATTAAACCTTCCAAAAGTAAATTCACATCCCATCCAACAATGTTTCCCCCACCAAAAAATACAAAAATAAAAAGCCAATTACAATTATGGATAGATAGTGTATGTATAAATTTGTATGGTAGATGTAAGTGTCGCGCTAAGGATCCTGGCTGGCAGACTTTATGTGTATATCTTGTAAAATCCCGGAAACAAGTGGCTCGTTTTAACTAAATAAATACTCTTAAGACAGCTGTTTAGTTCGCTGGCTCTTATAAGCCAGCATAGGCAAGCAAGTGCCTCCAGATATTTTGGACTGCAGCTCCCATAGTACAACTCCAGTTATTTATATTGGTGACGGCTTATTTAGTCCAAAAAGTCTAGAGTGTGCCAGGTTGTCCTTCCATCACATATTAATGGCTCTTTGTTGTAAGATGTTAGAGGAAATGATTATGAAACCTTTCTGGGCAAATCTTTGCTAGGCCAGCAAAGTGGTCCTAGATCTTCCCTTTTGGCAAGGTAATTGCACAGCCTTCTACACTGTGACAGCTTGACCCATTTCAGTCTGACTTCTGGTCCCGGTTCAGGACAAGAATGGCTTTGGTGTTCTTCATAGATTCTTATCCTACTTCATTTCTTAGAAGGCAACTGAAGGCTCAGAACATTTGGTGAAGAACATTTTACATGCCCCTCTTTTCTTTAGTGCTGTTTATTACTGGCATGAAATTGAAGACACTTTCCCAGGTTTTGGAGCTGGAGAATATGCATATGTGAATGACACCCAATTCTCTCTCTCCAAATCCTACATGATCTAGGTCGTTAATAGCAATAGGATGTATGAAGATGAACACACTGAAATCCAGTAATGACAAAACAAAGGAGCTGTTGGTTAGTAGATTTTAAAGAAAAGAATGATGGCTGTACCAAAACAAACAACAAGGGAACCTGTAAAATGCACTGGAAAAACCGTGTATTAATAAAGTAGAATGCATTTTGAGAAAAGTGCATCCCATGTTCCTAATAACAGAATCCCAAAAATGTTACGCTTCCTTAATAAAAAATACCTTTTCAGTAAATCTTAAAGGTCTTCCCTTTCATTGTTAAGCTGGCTTTTTTCTTACTTTGTGTATGACATTCATCATTTATATGATACTTTTTGTGCATATTTAAAATACAGTATCATATCATATATTTCTGTCTTATTTAAACCATTTATTATCCAGATGTCTTTATGTGGTTTTATACTGTATAAACTGTAATAAGATTGGCAAAGCTTTTTTTAAAAAAGAAACATTGTTCTTTTTGCATTCAGGAATGGTGGAGGACGAAGTGGAATGTTCTGTGCCATTGGCATAGTAGTTGAAATGCTTAAAAGGCAAAATGTCATCGATGTTTTCCATGCAGTAAAAACTTTACGGAACAGTAAGCCAAACATGGTAGAAACACCGGTAAGTTCACGGATGTGGAATGGTACTTTGTGTGGACTGCCAAAGGAGGTAGGAGGTTCTGCCGCAGAGTCTCCTAGAAAACATGCCAGAGCTGGCTAAGGAGGACGGAGTGGGAACAACCCAGGGCAAGCCTGATTGTCTGCCAGCTGTCCTGTAGTTTGTTCTGCCAAGAAGACACACCATGTAGGGCTTTGCAAGGGTGGGATAGTGCTACATGTGAACCCACTAAGTATCTCTGCTATTTTGTCACTTCTTCCTAAAGCCAGCTATAGGCAATTCTGTGAATCTAAAAGATTTCTTTTCCAGTTACCCCACCACTTAACCTGTGCCTCCTGCCGGCTATATACGGGCCAGACTTGACCCGTAGCCTGCAGTCTTCTTCTTTTTTCTCCATGCCACAAAGTGCCCAAGTCTTGCAGGCAGCTCCATATATGCAAGCAGATCCTTCCTAGCAAACCGTTCTTATTTATTGTCAATGGTACTTCTGAAACATTTTGATGTTTTTACTGAGAAGCTTGTTATAATCATTAAAAATACAGAAAGGCTGATTCTGCAGCCTCTGGTTTTTCTGACGCTTTTAAAATAATCTGCGTGAGGTAATTTTTTTTTTACCAGAAAGAAAGTGAAGTTGGATGGAGGGCAGGATCTGTTTCAGCCCTCTTAGTTCAACCCCACCCGCACTGTTTTGGGTAAATGATGCATGCAATCCAGCACCCCGCCTCCAGAGCTATGCTGGAAACTACAAAATCTTGCACTTTAAGGAAGAAAGCACCCATCCATCAAAGAGGTTCACTGAGTTTCCTACAAAAAAATAGAAAACCTGATTGATATTTGTGCTCAGTGGGTGCATACATTTTTTTCCAAAATGTTAGCATATGCAGTGGGAAGAGGGGATAGGAGAAGGGAGAAAGTAGGAAGTGGACACAGCACAGGAGTGAACATAAGGTTGCTTGAGAAAAGGAAAGCTGGGAAACTTGGCTTTCCTAATGATGATGGACTTCAGCTCCCATCAGCCCCAGCCATCAGGGTCATTGGTCAGGAATCATAGGCTCTGCAGTCTTAACATTTTCTGGAGGTTTTCTGCCTTTGGTTTAGACACAAAAATATTTCCCCTTTTCTTGATTTCTGCACTGTTCTTCTTTGTGGTCTCTGTATGGGGGTCTGTACCTGTGTGGAGCCTGTTGTTGGGAAGTTTCTACAGCTAAATGTTACTTTGGGTGGGAGTAACATTTGGGGAAACTTTGTAACTTTGGGTGGGAGTTCCCTTCCTGTTCTCTGCATCCATCAGAGGGGCCTCCACCCATTCCCTCAGTTCTTTTTCAGCTGCCTCCTTGCCTAGATCAGAAAGCACTTCTCTCCAATACTTGAGCTTTCTTTCGGCAATTACTAACTTTTTCTCTCTAGCGCTTTCTGCTCCTTGGCTCCCTGTTCAGCCACCATGTCTTCATGAACTTTGTTTTCATTCTTCACTTGTTGCACAGCTTTCAGACCAGCAGGTTTTTAAAACTGAGTGGGTTTCTGTTTTGATATTTTTCTAGAGCGCTAGTATACTGAAGCTGCATGAGCTACTTTTGTTATTCATACATGGTAATCCATAAGCCTTTTATCTAGAAATACCTGATTTTCTGTGTAGGGATTTTCAACAGTTTAATCATTGGCATGAACAACAAAAAATGTGGCGATATTTCACTACAGTCTTAATCTGCAGTTGCTGAACTTGGGTGTTTTAGTATCCTGTATTATGTGGGTGAACTATCTTGATCTGGTGCACACAAACAGCAGCTGGGTGAGGAAGCAAGCCAGGAAAACCAGTGTAGCATTGTCACCTGCCCTACATTCACCAAGACGATCAGATAACCAACAGAAACAAAACAAGAAGACCTTTGAAAGATCTTTCCCCACTTCCTGAGAACAACTGAGCAATGCTGCCTTCTAGATTTGGAAAGGGAGGCAAGGTGGATTTCCCCCTTTGTAAAGCCCAGATAGAGACTTATCATTAATCTTAGTGGCAATCTGATTCTCCTTTTTCTTCCAGACAGTGTGACCCTTGGGATAAAAACTTTGCACAGTCAAGCTGCAAACTGTACATTCCCCTGCTTGCAAGCTCATTGAAATTCAAGCTCCTTACAGGATTTTATCTCAGTTTCAACAGCTGGCTTTAGGTTTCATTCAGTTTAGCAACACAGCCATGATCGCTTGCTGCAGTATTAAAACACTGATATTCGTTAACTGCTAAATACAATTTGAGAATGTAGAGCATGTTGCCCCTGGGTGGGTAAGGTTGGTAAAATTCTTCACCAGTAATGAAAAATCTTTCTAATCAATGGAATAGGAGAACAAATCATAGGAAAGCAAATAACTACCCATCTTGAGCATCAGCCTATCTTAGCATATGGTGAGTTTTGAAACCACAGGCAGCTGCGCATGGCTAAGCATTGCAAAAACTTCAATGACAATTTGGAAAGAAATCATACCACACTAAAGAATGCAAGTGCTGTCCTCATGTTTAAATGGAATTTGACTACAATTCTGCTTTCCCCCCCTGACAGGAGCAATATCGTTTCTGTTACGATGTCGCACTGGAGTACCTTGAATCGTCTTAGTGTGAAAAGATGGGTACAGTCAAGTGAACCAAATAATATGACATGTAATGAACTGTGTTTTGGCATCAGCTGTTGAACCTCTGAAGAAAGATTTTAGTGAAGGGGAAGACTTAATTTTTAAATGCAAAAAGTATTTTTCTTAATAAATGTTGTACCTTAATTATATATAAATATACATATATATAAATATATAAATAAATAAAAAAGAACTGTTTCTATGCTTGTACACAGTATGATATAGAGTGCCACAAATGTAAAGAGCTGATGCAGAGCACGTCTGCTGTTTGAGGTAGGACATTTGAGTGTGCGTACATTCAGCTGTTTCTCAGTTATACTAAAACCGCCATCCGTTGCATGTATCTGTTTCTATTCAGCGTTTTAGTTCTTTGTCCTTAATTTGAGGCTGTTAAAGATAAAGCAAAACTGTATAGATAGTCTCAATATGTTTCATGTGTTGCAAGAATATCATATATATACACACACACATGTATATGATATATATGTATAACTGGATTTTTTTATTCTGTTCTGTTTTGTTGTAATGTGCAATGACGGCCTGATCAAAGTTCTTTATAGAGTAATCTAAACATAAGCCAAAGACTCAAGTGTAAATATGTCTATATGGAGAAGAAAGCACATTGTATTTATTGTTTACTGACATTCCTTTTATGATAGCTGAACAAAACTTTTTTTCTTGGAAATTTTTGTTGCTGCAGAAATCAAGTGTAAATGTTTTTTGTAGATTATTTTTTGTATTTTTTGTGTGAGAAGACAGAGAGATGGAGAGGGAGAGGGAGGGGAGAAAGACTTTTTATGTGTAGACCAGAAAACATTTGATACTGTAGTTTTGTTGTTGTGTATATGATTATAAATGAAATCCATGTAAACAACTTGGATACAGAAGGCCAGAATCAAAACCTCATTGTCCAAATGTATATTTTTCACCCACATTTTAATACTATGAATCAAATGGAAACTGCACACACACATGGCCTTGCTTATGACTTGCAAAATGGTGGGAGCAACTCCATTACTTTCTTCAAAGGGACAAATGGGTTACCAGCGGATCCTTGAAACCCAGACCAAAAAAGAAACTAATTGTCTTGAAAAAATACTGCATGTGAATGACCACACTTCTTTTAATGTTTACAGGTAGAGGATGCAATCCTAGGCAACCATAGCATGGGCAAGGGAGAGGTGCATGCAGCCTTCTCCCCACCAGTACTCCCCCATTCTGAAAGTGTTCCTGCATTCAGCCCTCTTTTTCATTTAGAACTGGCCTCCAGTTCCGTGAAATGATCAGCTGCATTACAGACTTTAAAAATACCTCCAGAGATGCATACACTTTCCCCCGTGGTTGTCTTGATCTGTAGCAATGGGAGCTTTGTGTTTTGGCAAATCCAAAACAGAGTCAATCATTTCCAGAATTAGGCTGCAGCCTGGTATGCAACATATCCATATTTTTACTTTACTCTTCATGTGCATGTTCATAAGCCTGGACATCTTTTCCTGATGAAAACCATTCCTGTGTCCCGTTGATTCTTCTGATCAAGAATAAATGACAAGGTGCTTATATATACTCATGTAAAGTAAGAGTGAATTAAAGAAGTTTTATAACATGCTGCCTTTACATTATTTCATTTTCTAATTACATTCATGATGTTTATTTTGAATTGAAGCCATCATGGAACAAAATTACCTGTATGGAATTCCTTTATTCAAGGAAGATTCTCTATTCAGAATAACTCTGCCCAATAATTGCAAAAATCATGATGGATATTGACTCTTCAGCCTACCCTAATTTGTTCTGTTAAAAGGGTTGTCCCTGTGTATGATTCCTTTAACATGCATCTACACACTGTGCACCCCAGTGTTTCCTATGAATCCCATAGATGCCTCCATGCAGCCATATTATGAAAGACACTTAAGATGATCTATTATATATTTTGGATCCATGAGACATGCTTCTGCCTGTCAGAATCCAATATGCCATTCCAACAAAACAGTTCTTAATTCTAAGGGAAGAAAATGATCTAACTAAGAGTAACGTTCATCACTTTCAATAGCTAGACTATTGAGCCAAGTGTATAAAAAGCTGAAAACATACAGATTGCTTTTCCATGCCCATTTTAATAGCCTTAAACTTGACAAATGGTTCCAGTCATAATGGCCCCTATTTCCTAATGTTAATTTAGGTTTGGTTGTTCCAGATGAAATAGAAACTTTCTATTTTCTTTCTAAACATATATTTAATGCTACTTTATCCATTAGGACATTGCTTGTCCTTGTCAACAACCTTATTGACTTACCTGCATACACTGGTTACTGTCTTTAAAAACTTAGATGCTGAAAAGAATTTTAATATAGCAGATTATCTCACAGAACCAAATTCTGTGGATGACTGCAAGAATTGTCACACATGGGGGAATAGCTGCCTGACCTCCAATTAGATACTTTCAATGATTGTGGGTCTTAGTGTGCTTTTATGCTTATTGGGTACTATGAAAAGGATCTGAAAAAAAATCTACTTTTACACATCCAAGCAGCTGCCTTGTGCTCTGCATGGCAAACTGCTTTCAAAGTGTTATTTAATTCAGCCTATGTATTAATAGCACTGTATAAATTAAGGTTGGGCAACTTGTTGGCCCCTCAGCTATTTCGGCTTATTAAATCCCATCATTCCCCATCATTGCTGGATCAGATAGATTTGTAGGCCCAACCATCTAGAGACAAGTTGCCTATTTCTAGTATAAATAATCACAAATACTGGATTGCTTGTGACTTTCCACCATAGACATACACAAACTAAACTACCTTTGTTCAATATGCATGCTTCGCCCATGATAATGAATACACACTACATTCTCTTACACAGAGAAATACCTCTAATTTAAACTCTATTTAACATGACTAATTTTCTACATTGATAAGCGCACACTCTGCACTCCCGCTCAGACTGCTTAGGGCTGCTGTTTTGGGAGTCGTCGTTTCATTCTGGAACAACTTTAGTATCATAGTTGGAGTGGAAAGCAAGCAAGCAGAGACATGGATGCATTGCTAGCACATATCCATTCTTACATTCATGGCCCCCTTTCCTCTCACTTTAGGGGAGGCAAGAGGAAAGTGTTACTACATTGCTCCTATAAGCCAATTCTGAGGGGGGGTATTCTTAAAAAAGATTTGGGGAAATTTCAAAGGTCAAATGCTCAGCTCACCTTCCTACCTTAGCTGAGCTGCATAAAGATGAAAGATTTGATGCATGGCTGATTCCAGAAATAGCCTCACTGTGGCAGAAAAGGAAGCATCTACCAAGCATCCTCTTTACCACAGGGGGAAATCTGCACTTCAAATGAGCTGCTTTGGCAAGGTGGAGTGCAAGAGCCTGCTGCTCTCGCTGGTTATATTTGTATCCGCAAAGCATAAGATCGAAGGCATAAATGGGTTAGTGGACCCATTAACAGCTGAATAACCAGCACAATGGAGAAACATCGTTCTTCTAGGACGCAGGTGCTTCTCCCAAGTTGCATAGCTGCCAGGATTAATTTCATCAACTTAAGGATGGGATCACCACTATTTTAGTAGCATCAAACTATAGTATAGAATCATAGAATAGTAAAGTTGGAAGGGGGCAAAAGGTAATTGGGTCCAACTGCCTGCCCAATGCAGAACTCCCAAGTTAAAGCATAACTCCTTGAATGCCTCATTTTATGAAGGTTGTGTGCACAGAACATGTGTGCCTTATTTTGTGAAGTGAGTGGCCTTACACGGTGATCGATCAAAACTGGTCAACATTTACATTCAGAACCTCTCTCTGGAGCAGTTTCCTCCCAGCCCAGAATTGGCAGGCTACACTGAAGGCAGCTCATGATGAGAAGCTTCTCCCCTTTTGAGATGCACTCCTTCACAGTGACTGCTGTAGAGCTACACTGGTGCAGAAGCCGAAGGGAGCGGCACATGCAGGAGTGAGCAAGCCCCAGGACGTGAGGAGGTAGGAGGCCAGAAGCAACCTGGGAGGAAAAGAACACTGATTGAGTAATTTTCTCAAAGCAAATCTGGAAACTGGAATGTTCCATGTTTGTATAAAGTAGTACCACACAGTTTTCTCTCTGTCCTTAATATTATGGTTGAGGACACACATCACCAAATCCCCAGCTTTATTACACGAAGGGTAACATTTTGATAACAGCCTTGGCTAACTACGTATCCTCATTTGCCCTGAAGTCCTGTGTTAACGGGGTTCAATGAACCCTGGGAGCATAAACAGCAACGGATAAAGCATCTAGTCTGTATTACAGATAATATTTCTTAAAATGGTGGGGTTACCAAAAGGAAAAAAAGACTCCTTTATGTGAGACTCAAGAATAGGTACTGGCACTAAACCTTTCAGTTTTCCTGTGTCAATTGAAATGCTAACTAGCAAAAAGGGGACAATCTGAAAGAAGTATTTGTTGGTGGCTCTCATGGAAGGCCAGTCAATCCCTTGACTGACAAGTACCACAAAGACCCTTTACAACCTTCTTCTGTTTCCCTTTCCAGAGACTGTCATGTAATCCCAAAGTAAATGTGAAAGCTACCTGGACGTTGGCTCCATCGTACAGTGAATGTGAAAGTAACTCAATTTGTGCTTTCTGTTGCAACAGAGAGAAATGTGTTGTGAGTTAATGTTGTGGAGAAAACCTGTGTTTTGTATTATTTCTTTTTTCCATTAAAAAATTGAGACTTAGCCATCAAACCATCTTATTCTTCCCCGAAAGGTCTGTGGTGTTTTCCACAAGACCAAAACATCTGTTTTAATGTATAAAAATGCATCATATGTCAAAATTCTGCACTTCATCAAATGTTGGTTGACCTGTAAACATAGTGACTTCAGTGAGCAAGAATGTGTGTGTCTTTTAATCATGATTTGGGAACCATTACAGAGTCAAGAAACTATCTAGTACTTTTAAAGCATTGCATTCAAGTAATCTGTGACGAGGCTTCCATTCATTAGAATATCATTTAAATAAGAGAAATAAAATATTAGCTTGTCCAATTAGTGATGCAATCCCCAGTGTACTGACCAGTGTTACTCTCTAGCTATGAGTCCCACGGGCCAACCAACTTAGCTTCTGGTCTGTAGCCAGGGGGGCTCACTTCAAATTAAGAGTGCATTGGATTAACTTGCAACTCTCACATTTGGCATGTGTTTCCTGGAGGCACTAATGTTCCCAGGCACATGTTAAAGACACAGCATGTCTCCTGGCATACCGAAGCTTGCTTTTATTTCCACAGAGGGTTCCATCCAACATCACATAAGAGAAAGCCCTCCTGCTGCCATGTCACCTTACCTAACTCATGGTCTCCCATTTCCTCAGAACAGATTTGGGCACTTGCAAAAGAGAAGAGTAATCTGTTCCCCTGGCAATAAACACACTTGGATTCAGCTGAAAGTTGGGAGGATATGGTGTGGCGGTTAGGGCATTGACTGGGACTCTGGCAATCCAGGTTCTAGGCGCCCTCCTCAAGCTCCCGGTAAGACCTGGGGAGGTGGTGTGGTAGCAGGGAGTCAGTCGCACCTTCACAAAGTGCCACATGGACACCTTGGAGGCTACCATCAGAGCCACTTGCCCAAAGCTCCACACTTTCTGCTGCTCTTGCCCAACAACCCTGCCGATTACAGGGTTTCCCCTGAATTTGTTGCATCATCTGAGTTCAGGCAAACAGTAAGCCCAGGAGTAGCTCCCAAACCCTACAACTAGCCATGGCTTATTGGGGTGGCCTCATAGCCACAAAGTAGCAAACACACAGGAGGCGGCACCAAGTTTGGACAGCACAAGAAGCCACTGTGGCTTTGAGACCACAATGACTTAGCATGTATCATAAACTAAGTCAATGGCTCTGTCTGTATCTACGTATCAGGGATTGAAAAGCCGAATGCATGCTGCAGACACTGATTTAGAATTTTGTAGCTATCTTGGGTCATTGATACTTTGGGCTAAAGTTGGATATCTGTAATTATGCTGAGACACGGGAGAAACTCCAGCTTTGCAAAGTCAGGGGTGTATGGAAGTTCCTTGAAACACATTGCTGGTTTTATAAAGGCTGTCTGTATAAAGCATCTCCATCTTCCTCCGAAGATGTGCCTGAAGGAGTTTTCAAATTCACTTTGGGCAAATTTTGCCATCAACTCAAAATGTATTGGAAACTATCTGATCTGCTTGGTCGATCGCTCATGTCTGACAAAAACGAAAAAGCCACTTGGCATAGTAAATAGGGATTATTTGACCCAATAGTTTGTTATCTTACATACAGAGAGATTTATTCATTACGAAACACATAGGATGCTTACTGTACCACGGTAATGGCTATTGATTTACTCTTGCTCCTCAAAGATCAAGATCCAATATTTTAATAGTAGTCTCAAAGCCTTTTGTGAATTGCCTTTTGTTTACTAAAAAAAAAGTAATGGAAAAGCATTATTTGCCACCCAGTTTGCTAGCAGTTTTTTCAGCTTTAAGAAAGCACAACATAGTAAGCACTGCTTAAACCTGCTTTTCAAAAATAAATATTTGAGGAAGCACTCTTTCTGCAAAGCTTTGGGTCAGTATGTAAATTTATGGTAATGTGCACAGGACAACAT